GTATTAAGTTATATTTATATGGTGAACATCAATTACGGCTTCTCAGCCTACTTAGGCAGATAAAGTCATTAAAATTAACCTCCTACTTGAGAAATTTAAATATTAAAATCCTCTAGAAAGAGTTTTAAAGGGTTTAAAGGTGCAACAGAGAAAAGTTTTCTAGAGCTTACTGCATGTTTCTGTACCAGATTTTCCAGTAGGCTTAGTTGTGCAACACAGGGATTTGCTCAGAGTCACCGAGTGCAGGTTCCTAAATCACCAGCCACTAACAAATTCCAGAACAGTTCTTTGTCCTCAGACTACTCTTCTCCTACCATGTAGCAGAATAGCTGGCTAATTACTACCTGGACAAAATTTGGTCTTGATCATCACCCAGGCCCAGGTTAGTACAGAGAACAGCTCAGCTTGTTAGTCAGGAAGGAGTGCATTAACAGAATGGGCTTTAGCAGCCTTTCCTGAGAGCATGGGCAATATCTGCTTCTTACTAAAGATAAGAAGTGCTCAGACTCAGGTTGTGGGAGCTTTTAAGAGTGTGAGTCAGATCATCAGCTGTGCAAGGTGCAGCCAGGCTGCAGCAGGAAATAAATGCCTTCTCAAGCTGCTCTCCTTAGAGCTACAAAGCTGCTAATGGTTTAGTACCAGCTGTGTCCCTGGTTCTGAGAAAACCTGCCGTGCATCAACCCAATTTAAATACCCAGCAAAAGCCCTTAATGGCAACTATAACACCTGCTCTTCTCCTCTTCCAAATGTTTCTGGATGCACCTCATACACAGATCGTTCCTGCAAGGTTAGTGGTCAAGCTGTAGTGTAGGTGCCTAAAACCAAACACACGTGTTAACTTTGATTCCCTACCAAACCCCACAAATCCAGTCATGGAGAAAATGGTTTGCCTGGAGCACAAACAGTGGAAGCAAAGGGCTGTTAATCTAAATGAGATATGTTAATATTTGGATGATAATGCAGTGCTGAGGACCAGGAGGGGTTGTGTTCTTTCCTAAAAACGTTGGCATTGTCTATGTTTGGCTTTGCTAAAGAACTGAACATGCTGGATAGTGGAGCAGGGACCTGCTAGTGAGCTGGAAGTGGTGTCATGGTGGTTTGCAGTTAAGTGCTTACTCCTGGATTTGCAGTGGGCTCTTTCTAGTCCAACCAGCTACTTCAGATTTTTTTTTCATGTTAACCAAAAAATCACTAACAAAAGGTAAAATAAAAAAAAAATATCTCTTTGGTTGCAAATTTCCTTCAGCCATTTTCATGGGAGGCTGTGTTTCCTGCTGGTTTTCCTGAAGGAGCAGCGAGTTGTGGGTATCCTGCAGCTTTTGCAGTGCCTGGCTATTGAATCACTAAGGCCTGGATCACCTACTTGCACCAAACCTTCTTATCCCTCTTTGTTCTTCTTTGTCTTATTGTCAGGAGTAAAATGCTCAGTGCCGATGAATTAGATGAGTCTGCCTAATTCCAAACAGCTGCTTTAGCTTTGGGTGGGATTTGCCCCTATGCAGAAATTACAGCTTTAAGATTAGATGTTTCCAATAAACTTAGGTGAGTGAGCCCATGGAAAAGGCTTTGGGCAGGCTCCTGGTGCTCTTTGCAGCAGATCTTATTTTCTGTTAGCTCTGGCCACATGGGGACAGGTTTCAGGTACACTGAAACAAACTGTTTGGTGTGGTACATATAAAGCTTCAGGGCAGTTTTGAGGCTTTATTTGTCCTGGTCATTCTTCACCATCAGTCGAGACATTGGTGAGAACAGCCAGGAAAATCTTGTTCCAACGCGAATCTGACCAGGAGATGGCAGCATTGAAGCGCGCAAAGAGAATCCAGAAGCTAAAATGCTTTTCCCTGAACTGACAGAGGTAAAAAATTACCTTGATTTAATTAGAACATATACTGTCTTAGCAATACATAGATAAATGTTAATGAAATAGTCCTGTTTTTATTTTTTGTCCCTAACTAGCTAATGCAAGTTAGTAAATTAAAAATGCACTTAGGTTTTTGTCTAAATACTGGAGTCACCCTCTCAGCTGATACTGATTTGATATGAGAATTTTTAAATTCAGTACCCTCTTGCTCAGAAGTGGTTATAGTCTTAAAAGGCTACAAAGATAATAGATGCTAATATTGTCACTTCTGCACACCTGCTCTATAAACTGATAATAGCTTTGCTCATAGCTATAAAATCAGGTTTTCTTAAAGCTTAAGTTTAAAAAATCTTGAGCCTTTAGTTTTTCAGTGTTATCATCTTCCCAATCTGTGATATGTATACATGTGCATTAACAAGGCAGAAGAGAGTCTGAAAGCTGGAAAACAGTGTTACCTGACCTGGTAAATAAGGAAGGAGCTTATAGGACAGCACCCATTTTTCCCCTGAAGTTGGTCTGGAGGATCTTGATTCTGTCTCTTTACTCCCATCAGAAGATGAGAATAATTCCTGGCTCCAGACCTTGCTTGTGAAAATAAGCGTGTCCCCTATCAACAGGGTGCTGTTGTCTGGTGCTGTAAGTCAGCCAGGGGCCCACTGCTGGACTCTCTCCATGGCTGGCTCTGCAGATGTTCTGCAGAGAGCTAATTTGTCACAGGGTCATCCCCAAATCCGGTAGGATGCACCAGGAATGGCCTGAGTCTGTCGGGCAGTATTGTACTCGTCTGTGGCAAGCAACAGGCTACATTTGTGTGAACAGCCAAGAGATTAAAAAGCGATTTCTTCCTGAGACCTTGGTGATCAGGGAGCTGAATGGGCTCCCACCGTGTGAGGTCACATTATTATCTGCGTTCCGTGTCTGTTAATCCCGTAGTGGGTGCAGGTAAAAGCATTGACATGGGCAGTTACTGTGGAGAGGCTGCACAGTTACAGCTTTCACCCTGGGCTATGCAATTTACTTATAGCTTTCAGATGTCTGAAAACTGAAGTGTGAATTCTCTCCATGCAGAGTTATCACACTGGTGCTTGTTTGAACATACTTATCTAAGAAAGCAAACTGTGGAGACACACGTTGTGTGCTTTTACCTTTGGCAGCGTTACCGGGAAGGCACCGGAGCGATTGAGATCTGAGCGTGATAGAGTTGAGATTTTTCTGCACCCATCTGTCCAGGTCGGTACTTTTTAAATAAGATACCTGTGAACTTAATCTTGCATACTTCCCTTTGGAGACCTGTTCTCCACATCAAAAGGCTGCTGGGATTGTTACTGATACAAAGGAAGGTGCATATGTAGGAACAAACAAGGCAATGCGTTGGAAGTTGAGGTGCACAGCGAAAATGTCACCGTTCGGTCTGATCTTGGCAGTCGCAGCTCATGGCTTTTTGAGTACCAGAAGTGCCCTGTGGAGCCAATCTGACAGCACTGCCCGAGTGACACGAGCCTTTATTTCCTTTCAGAGCAGCGCGGTGTAATCACTGTTTTTGTTCTTGTGCAGCCACAGACTCCCTTGTAAGCGCGAATTCAAATGGGAGAAACATCAAAGTTAATTTGAAATGAAATGCACCCCAAGTAGTCTGGGGGAAATGGAGACATTACTTTGTAGCCACCCTTCTGCTGCCAACACTGCAGCACCCCAGATGTCAGGAAGCCACGCTGCGCTCTTTGTCTGGTCTTGATTGACTAGATTGTTTTCATCCGAGCCTTTTTAAAGCTTTCCTCCTGCCTCCATATTTTTAAGGAATAAAAAGCTAATATAAGGACATGGAGTGTTATGAAGCATGAAGTTCTATAAATATTTATGCTGAACTATCAAAAAACTTGACAGTTCTTATTTTCTTGACAGATTGGGGTCACTTGTTATTTTTGACCCTGAGAATTGAAGAGCACATGGAGTTAGATCTGTTTGTAATGACTTTTGGATATTGTTGTCTGGTAAACTTGTAGGACTGTAACAGGATAACAGACTTTTTCTTGCTGTCTTCGTGAAAATGAAACTTAAAACTTGTATTGTGTTGCCCACAAATGACCACTCAAGTTACTCTCACTCTTTCTGTAATCTCCAGTGAATTCCTGTTCTTTCTTTGGCACACATAGATTTCCCACTTAGCTGCTTGGTTTGTCACTTCAGGTGGGCTGCTCTGAATTTGAAGTACTCTGTGATCACCTTTATGTCTAGGAATTGTAGTGTGCTCCTAAGCCCAGCACAGAATGGGATCAAGGAAGGCTAAAAATCTGGCCTGTTTTGTCTCCAGTGTTTTGCCCCCAGTCCCATCACAGTATTCCTAGAGCCAACCAACGACAAACTCTGCTTAAAAGTTTAGTGCTGATGAACAGGCATTTTCTAGAGAGATAAGAGGCTTGTAACTCCCACGCTTCAGGATCCTCATTCCTTAAAATTATGTGCACAAAAGCTTAATCCCTACCTGAAGCTGAAGTGGCAGGTGAATGTTTTAAGGCCAAGTCTGGCTTTTTCAGAAAAGCTGGACCTTTATGGCAGCAGCCATGTTATTACATCCAGCTGCAGAGGCTTTTTCTGCCTTGAAAATCCATTATCTAGGAAAGGATCAATCCAGTGCTTCACCTTGAATGAAATCTAGTTCGTGTTTTAAGGTAAACCTTGAATATATTGTGTGTATCTAAAGCTAACCAGAATGTCTCTTGCTGTCAGTCACTAGAGGGCACAAAGGAACTACCAAGGAAAGAAGGTTGTTCTTAGGATCCTAAATCTCCAGTTCAGATATGTGAAAGTAGGGGGGAAAATTCCTGTAGCTGATAAAGGACGGGATGGCTTCAAAATTTTGGTTTCATTGGTGATTTTCCCCACCCAAATCTAGCTCTAATTTGAAAGGTAAATATTCCAAGGGTCCTTCCATGTTCCTGTTAATATGATATTATGTTCAAAAAGTACATGGCACTCAGAACACATACGTAAGCTGCTTATAACCAGTTTTTAAATTCAACTCCTATAATTACAAAACTTATTTCCTTGTTTGTCAGGTTTCTTTATGAAACAAGTGTCCAGTGTATGAAAAGAGAGGCAGCAAAGGGAATTGCTCTCTGACCATCTGGTTCTTCTGCAGGTGGCGTGTCTCATACGGGTTCCATCTGAGGTCGTCAAGCAAAGGGCCCAGGTTTCTCCTTCCTCGAGCACCCTCCGGATTCTCTCCCACACCTTGTACCACGAGGTGAGTTCAGAGCAGCATTTCTAAGCTGTTTCATTCCAGTTCTGTGCTCTCCCAGCACTTTCCCCATCTATTCTTGTTAAAAACGATTGGCATGTTGCGATTAAGGGAACCAAAGCCCCGCCTCCCCCTTGTGTGTGCACTCACATGCATGCTCCAAACAACTCTTTATATGGGGGACCTCCATTTAAATGGGAGTGGAAACCTGTTCACTTCTGGTTTTGCAGAGTCTCACGAGGCGTGTTTCTCAGGTTGTATTCCATAGGAGAAAGTGGCTCCTGAGAACACTGTAGGGAGAAATACTGTGCACATTTCTGAGTGTAAAATAAAAGCCAGGAGAAGGAAGACATAAATACGATCTTTAAATGATTCACTTTATTGTTATTTGCTTTCAAATGAAAACTGTTGTGATAACCTTGCACAAGAGGTTCACTGGAACTTCTTTCTGTGACTTGATCATTCTGCTCTAAAAGCTGGTGTTCTCAAAAACAGATGTTTTTCCCCTTCTGTGTTGCTGTCCAGAGAACCATAAGTCTTTCCAAACACTTGAATGAACTGCCCTATAATAGTAAACAACATAATTTTATATATCCTTATAAAATAAGTTTTAGCTGTTTTGAATATTAGTCAGCTGGTTAAAAATATAAAATATTTCTGTTGATAAAAGCTCTGAATCAAGGCTAAGAAGGTGAAAATAAAACCCTCTGGCATTGTAAGTAACGGAACACAATATACAGTGTTACAATGAATATAGTCAGCTTGAGGTTCAGGTGTGACTCTGGGTAAGGCTGCAATGCCTGCTGTGTAATCATTGACTAATTGTGCTCTTTGGCAAACTAATTCCCTGTGGATGATGCTTTCTTTTGTTGTTTTACAGGGTGTTCAAGGACTTTATCGGGGTTATAAAAGCACAGTATTAAGAGAGGTAAAACACTTGTCTTTTTCTCTCTCTTTTTTTTTTTTTCAATTGATTCCTTTGCCTCACTTAGTTTTCTAACAAGAGATAGTTGTTCCGATCAATTGCTTGAACCATAAGCTCTAAGTCCCAGCGTATTTCATTGTAGATAAGTTACTAGTCTGTAATTTAATTAGAATACTGATAATGTGCACTAAAAAGAGCTGTGATTCATGCATCCTGTCTCTTAGTTCTGTTGCTGCTAAATTGAAAACGGAGGGAAAGGTATATGTTAACATGAGAAAACCACAAACTAAAGTACTGGAAACTTTCTCAAGTCTTGTGATTGCATCATGTGAGCTATATATGCCAACAATGGTGAACTGGTGGCATCAGGCCAAGTTTAGCACAGACAGATTTAGTCTTTCTTTAAATATATTCGTCAGCAGATGCCAAGAGATTATCTGTCATCTGTATATAGGGAGGATTTTTTTTTTCTTTTTTAATGTGTGAAAGAAATGTATTTAGTCACCCAGTCTGTAGATTTGATATGGCATTACTTAACTCTAAATCAGAAGTACTTCACTGTTGGGGAAAAAAAAAAAGTGCGGCTAAAAATATTTTTGCCTGCTTGGCAGAAAATAGTTCCTAAACTAAAATCTTTTCATAGATGTAATGTGAACTGCAGGATTAGTGTTCTGGAAGTGTTTGATATGCTGTGTGGACTGAAGGCAGGTTATAAAAGAAGTAGAAAAACCTACTGATAAACTCCCAGTCTACAATAGTTTCAGAATCAGATCCCAGGAGGTCATCTTCTGACAAAGCAGAAGTTGCATCGTGTGTTTGTAGCTTGGTTCCTGTGAAAATATAAAATCACAGAAGGGTTTGGGTTGGAAGGGACCATAAAGCTCATCTTGTTCCAACCCCCTGCCATGGGCAGGGATACCTTCCCCTAGACCAGATTGCTCAACGTGGGCTTGGACACTTCCAGGGATGGGGCAGCCACAGCTTCTCTGGGCAACCTGTGCCAGAGCCTCTCCACCCTCACAGGGAAGAATTTCCTCCTGAAATGTGATCAGACATAACCCATGTTGTTCAGGAAAGTGCTTTCTATGTGTATGTGGGCGGGTTTGTCCTCTCCTTACATAACTCAACTGAGTAAACCAGCTTTGGATCTTTCCTCTTTTATTTTTAAGCACGGGTTCGGATTTGTTGGCTGTGCTGGCATTGATAATAAAGCCAGTTGCCACTGATAATAAAGCCAGTTGCAAGGCCTTTTAAGCCTTGATTCAATAGCTCTTTTAAAAGCCTTTCTTCGTGCTGAAAACTGTTGTTAGGTACAGTTATGTTAGCCAACTCTTGTTGCAAGTACGGAATAAAGATGGGTATGACCTAAAGTAAGAAATACAAAACTTAGTGTTCCTTAAAGTGCTGGCAAATGCTAATGCACTGCAGTCTATTTTAGCAGTTCTGAGTGTTTAAAAAATTAGTTATTTGTGCAGAGATGACACCTGCTTTTCGGAAAAGTAACCTCCACCACAGCTTTGTCCTGTACTTATTTTCTGGCTCACTAAACACGTTATTCATTCAGATTTCATTTGCAGACAGGCGAAAAAAGGCCAACAAATACGGATCATTTTGATTTCTCTGAGGGGTTCTGAATAAATGAATAAATTTAGATCCCATTGAATACAGATTTTGCATACTAACAGGTAGATAAAACACACAGTTGCTACTGGGTGCTATTCTCCTTAAAATTTGTTTTGACATATGTCAGGGTGGTAATTAATTTGCAGACCATATTCATGGCACAGTGTGTGACCCTGCTGAGATAACTTTGTTTACTCAAAATGGCAGCACTTTGTTGGAAATTTAATGGGGGTCCTCTCCATTATGTATATTCATAAAAGATCCTTCAGAACTGATTTCAGTTGAAGTATTGCTTTTTGGGAGAATCTGTCCAATAGAATGAGAAATAAATGATTACCAAATGAAATGTGCTTTCTCTTCAAAATGAAACAAATCATAGGTGATGTTCAAAGAGAAAAAAAAAAATCTTTGAATTTAACACTGTTAAGACTGATGCATTTTTCTGACATTAAATTTTGTAAAGCAATGTCCAGTTGAGTAAGAGCAGATTATTGCACCTTCAACTGGAGCTGTTGCAAGTCTGACATTTAATCTTGGGATTTTTCCTTCTCTTTAAGTACATTTCTTCCTTTAGGGAAAGTCTTTATTTTCAGATAAAAATCTATATTAATTCATTATTGGACACATCCAGGTAGCTGCATAGCATGTATAGGCTGACATTTAATTCCAGCTGACTTTTTTACTTACAAAGTTTGTTTACATGCTTTGGTTCTTTACCTACACAAACACCTTTGTTTAGTTACAGTGGAGTGGGATTTTTTGGATGGAGGGGCTTCAATGCATGATTTGTCACTTAAAAGAAGTAATTGGAAGAGGCTGGGAATATTGATGCTTTTCAGATGATGATATTCTCGCACTGCCAAAGTTCTTGAGCCAGAATTTAAGAAAGGTTAATTTTAGCTGTTGCACTGGGATAAAATTGTGTGTATTACATCAAGCAGATTTCAGTGCCTGGGCAGAGATCTGCTTGCCGGTTGATTGGACTTCAGTGGGAATGAGTCTGTTTATAAACGGAGTGTGATGTTGAAACCTCATATTTTTGCTACAGCAGATCTTTTCAGGACAGCTTCACGTAATTTGCTTTAGCTGCTGTGCTGCTGCTGTTCTGGTGCAAGGTAGCTGTTTCATCCTTCATTTTTGATTCTCAGTCTTTCACTTACCCCTTTATCTTCTCCTCAGAATACTTTCTGAGCAGCTGAATGTTGATAGAGAAAGAAGATGGCTAAATATATAATGCTTTTGGAAATAACTGCGTGAACTTCAACGCTTGAAAGTTTTGGCTGTGACTCTTTTCGCCTGCCTCCTTTTTGGTGACTTTTCTCTCATCTCCATTACTTTTTGGTCTTCACATCTTGCTTTGATGTAGTTACACTGAACTAATCCTAAAAGGGAAGGGGAAGTGAGGTACAGTGCATCATTCTGTTGGCAGTAGAAGCCCGAAAAAGACATCTGTGCTCCAAGAGGAAAGCTTTTGTTGTAAAGCACAAAGTGAGAGTATGGTTATTAGGTTGCTGAATGAGACTTTGAATAAATGGCAGAAATTGGAGGCTGTGAAACGATGTGGAATTCCCATTATGTCATTTCCAAAGCAAATCCAAGTGGGAATTGTCCTTTCGTATGGTTATAGTGTACCAGTGTGCATCGGTGTGGAAAGTGGATTACACTACTAAGAGCAGTCAATGAGCAGGTAAATTTATTCAAGTTTTCCACAACAGAGACAAGTTAATTCGTAAAATCTCCAGCCATCTTATAACAAGGCAGGACCAGACTATAAATCCAGTGTAAATCCTCTAGAATTTCTTAATGGTAATGTAGTTCTGCTGCTGAGATCTTATATAAGCAAATGGAGCCAGATTTTTAATTCCTGCATAATTCATTTTATTAACTATGACCAAGTAGAACATCTGTTAAAATTCCATAACGTTCAGTTCATGGGAAAAAGAAAGAAACCCCTGAGTTCCCGTTGGAGCTCTTCCATTTCCGTTCATGTTACAGGACTCCAGCAGATGTCTTAAAGGACATTATTATGAATGAGGGGGCAACACAAAAGGAAAGGAAGTGCTTTGTCCAGTTTCCCTGTGTACAGTGAGTTACTTCACCCTTGGCATGCCCGTGTGCAGGTTGCATCTTTGCACCAGCAGTGCCACGGTAAATGTCGTGTCCTTTCAGTCATGAGATACCATGGCTTGGAGGAACTGAGTGAGTGCTGAGTGGGTGTTCTGTGTGCTTCAAATTCAGTCTGTCACTTGAAAAACTATTGCAGATGGACTGGGCTCCAGCTTAGAAATAGATTCAAAAGGAGCTAAAATTAATATTAAACTCTTCTTATCCTCTGTGTTGCCTCATAGACTTTTCTGAGACAGTTTGCACTCTGGCCGTAGTGGCCTCCGTTCATATGGAGGTAGCAACGATGCTTTACTTGTCAATGTTGTTTCAGAATTTATCTCAAGAGCTCTGAATTTGGAAGGAAACTACCTGACCCCACTCTGGTACAGCACAGTATTGGCCTTGCTTTCAGTGAGATGGCCAAGTCGTGCCTTTTGGAAGTCCCAGTTTGTTAAGTTAGTACACTTGTGGGTTGGTTTGGATTTTTTCTGTTTGTTTTTTTTTGCCTTAAATGGATTCAGGTCAGAGCCTAAATGGACAAAGGCAGCTGTGCTGTCTTGGGAGGGAGAGAGCACTCCATGGTATGTTAAGTTTGGGGAAAAGAAGGACAGCTAGTTCCAAATATGCTGTTGCATTAATGAGTGGCAGCAGTGTGACAAACAGCAACACGCTCAGGCTCTTCCCAGTTCCAGAAAGCCAAGAAGTAATAATGTCTCCTGAGGAGGAGAAGGTGCTGTTTGGTGTGTGTGTGTGTTCCACAGAAAGGTTGTCCTGTAGTAAGGTGTGTCTCAAAAGGGCTATGGAGAATATGCATCTCTGCAGATGAAGAAGGAGGTAGGAGGACAAAGACCAACAAAAACCCCTCGTCTCAAATGATTTGCTGCCTGGGAGAGGGAAACTAAAGCAACTAGCAGCAAAATGGGCCTTACAGGCACACCTGCTGCGTATTCCTAAATTTAAGGGGTCAGTGAACAAAGGATGCTGAGAGAGGTTTGTATAAAAATGTGAAACCCAGCTGAGATAGGTTGACCCTGTTGACTGAGGGCAGGAGGGGATCTGTGAGGGCCAAGCTCGATAGGGAACGCTCTGCAAACAGGGAGCCCAGTTTGTTTATTCACTCAAGGTAGTTTTGCATGCTTTTCTTTTGTTAGGACATCTTTATATAAATATCCTGTTCTCCTAGCTGTTGAAGGTTTTTTGTGTTTTTTTTTTTTTTAAAGTTTATCTCTGTTGCTGTAGGACAGAAAGAATGTTATTAATACATTCTTTGACTT